TCCTTTCCTTTCCTTTCCTTTCCTTTCCTTTCCTTTCCTTTCCTTTCCTTTCTTTCTTTCATTCTCTTTATTCCTTCATTCTGCTAAAAGAAAAGCTTAAGGCATCAAGAGAAAAATATTTACGGGAGGAAAATCCTGCTTTCTTCCTTCGTCACTCACTTTTTTCCCTTTTTTTCCCCTTCCTTCTGTCTTTCCTTCATCATTTCATTMATTCATTGTTTCTTTCTTTCTTTCTCAACTACTTTTTTCCTTCATTTTTCAGTCTTTCTTACTATTTCCCTTTTCCATTTTTTGAAAGCAACTCGAACGACTAACTACTTAAAAAGTTACATTACCAAGAAATTGGCTCAAATACGAAACCATACGGAAAATACATCAACAAACAAATCGATCCACACTAATCGCGTTCTTTCCGCGGTAACGTTGATTCAATTCTAAGTTCAGAAAAGCTATAAAGACCACACAGGCTGTTGTGGCTTCACCACGTCTAGCTGACAATCAGAAACTCAAAAAACATTACTCCCTCTAATCAAGGGACCAGCCATTGTGCCTAACCGAAAATTACAAACTAGAGACAACAGGGAAAACATGAGCACACGGAACAAGAAGCTCCAATTATATTTTTTAATGTATTTTTTAAAATTCCTCCCTTATTCTAGGATACGAAGAAGAACAGGTCAAGAAGAAGATGACGATGATGTCGAAGAAGAAAAGAAGCATAAAAACATGGCTGCTTCTCTAGTTAGTTAGCTAAAACAAATTATCATCAAGTTCCTGTTGAGAATCAAGAGTTCCTATTTGCTTATTATCAACATGTAGTAATTGTGGATTATTTGTGTCGGAGGAGGTTGAAACTGTGGATGTTTGCCGCCTCGGGGAAAGATACTGAGTGATGTTTGGATTGCATTCCATGGTTATCGCACGCATATTGAATTGTTATTCTAATTGTTCAAACTGCAAACACGGAGACAGGGAAGATGATAAAACGACCACCCGACTTGCGGTTATGCTATACTAATTGAGAAAGAACAATAATGAGTTCTACAGAGTTAAATAAATAGACAGAACAAAATACAACAGGAAGGTAATTCCATAGAATTAGAAGCAATGAAAATAAAAATGAATGTTTGGAAAAAAGATGTTAAATGAGGATAATAATAGAAAATGGGAGGAAGGGAAGTGAAAAGAAGAAAAGGAGGAAAGGAAAGGAAAGGAAAGGAAAGGAAAGGAAAGGAAAGGA